TTGAACCTAAAATAATAAAACACCATTATTTAATTAGTGGTGGTGAAATTATGTTGGAAGGTTCACATTTTTCTTCAACATATATAATATGAATTAATACTCATGATGACACGCTGCATAACATAACCAAAGACAATCGTTGCTAAATCCATGTTTTTAATTTTTTAATTTTTTGATTTTGATTTTATATAAATTTTATAGTATATATACTTGGATTGTTATAAGATAAACAAACAATTCTACCTTAAAATGTCATCTAAATCCATAAAGTTGGAATGCCTCCATTTAAATGGAATCTTATATTTGTTTCCCTTTTTTTTTTCTTTTTTTTTTCGTTTGACAAATACTACTACAAAAAACAAGTACTTCCCTCTTTTTTTTGTGTGGTTTCACTATTTTCTTTCTTCTTGAGCTTTTTCCATATTAATTAAGTTACATTTGGATGGAAGGATTTGGAAGAAGGAATTTGGTCCCTGCGGTTTACCACTTTTACCACTAAATTCCATGTTGTTTCAATTGAGTCACTTTTGCCCTTATAGTTTTCGATTTCAAGCACTTCAAGGACAATCCCAATTTTCTGTCAAATTATTCTAACTTATGTTATTTATTGAGGGCATTTTGCAAAACACGAAACTGAATGAAGCTTTGTATGGTTCTGAATTAATGTATTGAGCCCATTTGTAGCCCTAAACAATTTGATTAATATGGTAAATGCAGAAGAGAATTCCTTTCGTTGAATTTCTTTCTTTTCCTTTTTGGTTTTATTCCTTTTATACCTAAGGTCACTAGAAAGAAAACCCTGCAAATATGGGAAATGTAGAGGAGCAAAAAACAAGTACATCCCTCTTTTTTGTGTTGTTTCACTCTTTTGAACTTTTTCCATATTAATTAAGTTGCACTTGGATGAGGGGGAGATTTGGATTTGACAACTAGACTAAATTTGCTATAAAATGAATATGCTAAATTTCCATATTAATTAAATTTTTCCATATCAGATTGAATGCATTTGAAATAATTAGATATAGTATCATTAAAATGAACATGAAATGACTATATGCAAAGAATCATTTTAAATTCACTTGTTTTCTTATTTCTTTCTTTTTGAACTCTTGATGTATATACATTGATTGTTATACAATAAACAAACAATTTTACCTTATAATGTCATCTAAATCCATAGATTTGGAATACCGCCATTAAAATGGAATCTCTTTAAATTGTTTCCTTTTCTTTTTTCTTTTTTCTTCTGACAAATATTACTTCTCATTTAAAATCCTGTGTGCATCAGTTTCCATCCCATCAAACAAGTTCTTCTCTAGAAACACATCTCTATTTTTCTCTTTTTCTCTCAAAAATCTCGAGCACAAGTTTTAGCACAAAGGGAGGAATCAATGGCCAGTTGGGTTGCAGTACTAAGTGTTGTTTGGGTGAGCATAGTGATTGCATGGGCGTGGAAAGTGCTGAATTGGATGTGGTTGAGGCCAAAGAAACTAGAAAGATGCTTGAGGGAGCAAGGCTTTACAGGCAATTCTTACAGGCTTTTGTTTGGAGACACCAAGGATAGCTCAATGATGCTGCGACAAGCACAATCCAAACCCATGAAACTCTCCACCTCCCATGATATAGCGCCACGAGTCATGCCATTTGTCCATCAAATTGTGAAAACTTACGGTATGCCAAATACTTTTACATTAATTCCTATCACCTTTCTACCCTATCCATGTATGTATATGTTGTATGGTGTGTAATCTTCTTTATAAGTTTAAACTGGGATAGTTTTTTTTGGGTTAAATACATTTCTGGTCACTGGGTTGTATACGAAAATTTAATTTGGAGGTGCAATTTTTAAACCAAAAAAATGCAGGTAGGAATTCTTTTGTTTGGATGGGCCCCATGCCAAAGTTAAACATCATGAACCCAGAAGATTTGAAAGAAATCTTCAACAAGCGTCAAAATTTTCAGAGGCCATCAGCAAACCCTCTTATCAAGTTGCTAGTACAGGGCCTTCTACACATTGAAGATGAGAAATGGGCTAAACACAGAAAGATTATCAAGCCAGCATTCCATTTAGAGAAGCTAAAGGTACTCACTCGCCAACATTCATTTATATTTATGGAGATTTAATTATAGCAATTGTGTCCACTAATTTTCCAAAATGTACATTGTCGATAATTTTTGGATTTCTTTTGCCCTAAATTTTTCCTTGTTTGGTATGTAGGGTATGTTACCAACATTTTACCAAAGCTGTAGCGACATGATTAACGAGTGGAAGGGGTTGGTGTCCAAAGACGGTTCATGTGAGTTCGATGTGTGGCCATGTCTTAAAAATTTGTCGGCCGATGTGATTGCTCGGGCTGCATTTGGAAGTAGCTATCAAGAGGGAAGAAAAATATTTCAGCTCCTGCAACAGCAAGATAAAAATTTTTCATTAGTCGTCCGAAGTGTTTACATTCCAGGATGGAGGTAAAATTAAGTACTCTTTTATTTAAATTAGTTGTTCGTCATGTCGGCACAAAACGATTGATCTTGTACGACTTGAACTTGGTGCAGGTTTCTACCAACCAAGCATAACAGGAGGATGACGGAAATAAATAAAGAAATAAATGTGTTGCTCAGGGGTATTATAAATAAAAGAGAAGAGGAAATTAAGTTGGGTGAAGACAATAAAGATGACTTGTTAGGTATACTTATGGAGTCCAACTTGAAGGAAATTCGCGAACATGGGAACAAGACAGACACTGGAATGAGTATTCAAGATGTAATTGAGGAGTGTAGGTTGTTTTACTTGGCTGGTTCAGAGAGCACTTCTACACTGCTTGTTTGGGCAATGATTTTGCTGGGTCAAAACCAGAATTGGCAAGCTCGTGCAAGGGAAGAGGTCTTGCAAGCCTTTGAAAGCAACCCACCAAGCTTTAATGCCCTAAGCCAACTAAAAGTTGTAAGTATATATTTTTAGTATATTCTCTTGCTATATATATATATATATATATATATATCGGTAATTCGAAACCTTGACCATATAAAATGTCTCAGGTGACCATGGTTTTACTTGAAGTTCTTCGATTATACCCAGCAGGCGTTGAGCTTCCACGAACCACTTGCAAGAAAACACAGCTTGGAAAATTCTTATTGCCGGCTGGAGTCCTTGTCTCCTTACACATAATGTTTGTTCACCATGACAAAGAATTGTGGGGTGAGGATGCAGATGAGTTCAAGCCAGAGAGGTTTTCAGAAGGAATTTCAAAGGCAACAAAGAACCAATTTGCATACTTCCCTTTCGGCGCCGGTCCGAGGATTTGCATTGGACAGAACTTTGCTATGCAGGAAGCAAAATTAGCCTTGGCATTGATTCTACAACACTTTACCTTTGAGCTCTCTCCATCCTATGCTCATGCTCCTACGACACAAGGAAACCTTCTTCAACCTCAATATGGTGCTCATATCATTTTACGTAAACGTTGAGTAGTTCTAAATAGTATATATTGTTGACAATTAAGTTAAAAATTATAAGGACATCACATGGCCAGCCATATTAGCCATGTAATTCTCGTGACTTGTCTTTTGTTCATTTTTAGAATTGAAATACTGTATTGTCAAAAAATTCACAATGAGTACAATTGTAGAATTCAAAAACAAAATAAAAAAACTTGGTCTACGAAAACATAAAACACCCCTATGAATACCCAAAGAATTCGTCATAAAGAAATGTATTGAATTCTCAGCTCTTAATAAGGAGAAAAACTTACATGTAACAGGGATGTCAGTATCCCAAGCTTATTACATATTGTCGTATCGGAAAAATAAAATGCATGGCACTATACGATTGACTTAGGATAGCGCCACAATGATATCCCAATATAAGTAAGTTTTATTCCTTAATCATGCAATTGACCAAATCCCGAAGAGCCAAACAATGTAAGAACCAAACAATCAAAGTCACATCAATCCGAAAATCTTCAAAGTCAAAAGTCTCAATCTAGTACTCTCTTTTTTCTTCCGTTGGTGTCAAAATATATACGTGCCTTAATAGGAGGCCAAGAAGCAAAACAAACAGAGAGAAAGTTCTATTATACAACAACATGGACGAAATATATTTTACTTATTTGGGTCTTAGAATTATTATTATTTACGACTTCCTTCTTGAAAGGGTATGTAGAAACCATCAGAGAATGTTACAAAGGAACCTGCGTGTAGGAACGCAGTCTCCTTAAAATCTTCCCAAGGAAAATCATAACAAAACCTTGGGGTAGGAAAAAGAGTGTCACACATACATTGGACTACAAAAGAGTCAAAAGAACAAAAACCAAATGAAATAACACAAAGCACAATTACAAAACCCAGTAAATAACATCACACCACAATGTAATACTGATATTCACTGATACATCCGTATTAGAATTATTCGGATATTAGATTTCTCCTCATTAAATAACACTTAATATTGAAAAATTATGTGAATACCACATTAAAATTCGTAATTCAATACCTGCAAATCCAGAAAGCAGATTAATGAGGAAGAATGGTTGGTCTCATACCCAATCATTCTTTTTCGTGTTCTTAACTTCACGGACTTGTCCTATTCATAAATTTTCTCATTCTAAATAAGTAAATACACGATTAAAGTGTAGTATAAATCATCGTTGAAAGTGTGATGTATGCCATACCCTCCAAAACCCAAGACGTCCAAAGGCGGAACACTCGAAGCAGCACAACAAAACAAACGTTGAAAAATCCATGACAATCACATATACCCAGAACACAAAAAAAAACGCAAATTTCTCAGCTGCTACCTGTTGAGTGCAGGAGAACACAGCAAAGCAAAGCATGCTGTCATGCAGAGCTGTGCTGCTAACATCATCATAATCCGTGATCCAAAGAGTTTGCCACGTCATCATAAATTTCATAACAACGGCCAAAACAAAAGAAACTCGAGATCTATATGTAACTGACAATTGAAGAAACAAGAAAGACGTGAAAGCTCCCCACAGAAACACAGAGCCATGGACCTCAACCTTTCATCTCTAGTAGCTGTTCTGGCAATCACATTGGCCTTCTCACTCTACCTCTATTCTCTGCTATGGAAATCAAGAAGTGTCGTAAGAAAGTTACCACCTCAAGCTGGAGGCGCATGGCCTATAATCGGCCACCTTCACTTATTATATAGATCATCAGAGCCACCCCATTTGGTGTTTGGGAAATTGGCCGATAAGTATGGACCTATTTTCACTATAAAGTTTGGAGTGGAGAGACGAGTGATTGTGAGCAGCTCGGAAATGGCGAAAGAGTGTTTAAAGACACAAGACAAAGTCTTTTGCAGCCGTGTCAAATCTATAGGGCCAGAAATCCTTGGCTATAACTATGCCTGCTTTGCATTCAGCTCCTACGGCCGCTACTTTCGCGAAATAAAAAAGATGGTCATGCACGAGCTCTTCTCCAACCAGCGCATCGAGATGCTCAAACACATAAGAGAATCTCAAGTTAAGACAGCGATCGGAGAGATATACGAGTGGTGGACGAAGAACAAGAAGAGTAGTGGTTCAAATGAGGTGGTGGTGGAGATGAAAGAATGGTTTATGGACATAAGTCAGAATGTCATATTTATGATGATATTAGGGCAAAGATGTTCTGAAGTTACAAATTACGAAAAGATGGGAAGAAAGATTTTCGATGATGTTCTTCATCTGCTTGGGATTTTGGTGGTTTCAGATGCGGTTCCTTTCTTGAGGTGGTTGGACTTGGGTGGCCATGAGAAGGCAATGAGGAAGAAATTTAAGGAGGTAGATCAACTGCTTCAAGGATGGCTAGATGAGCATAAGCAGAAGAGGAAGATTTCTGGTGGGGTGAAGGGTGATGATGAGCGTGACTTCATGGATGCCATGATTTCATTTCTTGATGATGATTTGAAAGTTACCAAGGAGTATGATGCTGATACAATCAACAAAGCTACCTCCTTGGTATGTACACATTTTAATACGTACCAACTTCGTCACTTGGCACTTTATATATTATTCCTGTTAATGAAAGTACAACTTTCATTTAACTCTGATTAGTACATTCATACAAGTTTGTTAATTTTATATAAAACAATCAGTTTAAACTTTGATTCAATCATTTGACTTTAATTGACAATAGGGTAAATATATACTAATTCGAAAATCTTTTTAACAACATGCAAAGCAAGGGGCTTGTAGCTCAACTTATTATGAGCAGTTACCCTTGAGGTCCTAGATTTGGATCTTCATGCCATCAATATCACTTGTAATAAAAACAAGAAAAAAAACAACATGCAAGGGACATTGCTAAAAAGAATAGAAAACGTTTTACTTCTGTCTCTTAAGGCTTTTACTGGCGCTTATGTGCTGTCAATATTGTCACTTAGTTTTTTCGTGCAGAAATTAGTAAATCCGTGTAATTCGATTCTCTTTCCTATGAGCGTGGCTTTTAATTCTCATCCAAATCACTAAACCGTTGGATACACAAAATCTAAAGCCTTCATCTACCCAATGTAAGTTTGTGTACTTGTTTCGCAGGCTCTTCTCTTAGCAGGTGTAGATGTAACTACAGGAACATTGACATGGGCACTCTGTTTACTTCTCAACAACCCTGAAACCCTAAAAAGGGCCCAAGAAGAATTAGACCAAAATGTTGGAAGAGATAGGCAAGTGAAGGAATCTGACCTCAACAACTTGGTCTATGTCCACGCGATTCTCAAAGAAGCAATGCGTTTATACCCTCCCGGACCACTTGCAATGGCCCATATGTCCAGAGAAGATTGCATTGTAGGAGGCTACCATATCCCAGCAAAGACTCCTGTCTTCGTCAACATTGGAAAGATCCAACTAGATCCAAAGCTGTGGCCTGAACCAAATGAGTTCCGGCCAGAACGATTTCTAACAACCCACAAGAACATTGATTTAAGTGGTCAGGATTTTGAGTTGCTACCATTTAGCAGTGGAAGAAGAATGTGTACAGGGGCATCTTTGGCCATGAAGATGATGCCGTTGGCACTTGCTTCTTTGCTTCATGGGTTTGAAATTGCGACCCCAGGGGATAAGCCTGTTGACATGCGTGAGACAATGGAGTTGACTAACCATAAATCCACCCTTCTTGAAGTCCTTGTCACTCCGCGCCTTCCTGCTCAACTATATGAGCATCATAAATAAAGCAAACTACTATGTTATTATGTGGGATGGAAGTTACATGAAGTTGATAGGGACTGTCATGAAATAGTGAGATGCACTAGATGTATCGTTACACAGTGTCCATTCCAATCAATAAATTGTTTTATTTTCAGTGTCATTTTGGGTTTTACAATTTTAACATTGAGTATTTGCCCGCTTGAAAATGTTGTAATGTGATTCTAACGCTACTGATCGTCATGAAATGCGTCTTCAACAGGTCACACTTGAGACCCAATATTATTTTCTTTGGTGGACAATTACTTGAAGATTCTAAACTTTAATTCCAAATAAGATATAAAATTAAATAAAAGCCTTATCAGCCCTAAACCCATGCTTTCATCTCTAAGTCTCTCAATGTATGAGCCCAACAACCAAAGGTCAGAGCAACCCTAAATCCTCAAAGTTGAAAGGTCCCAATCGAGCACTCTTCTTTTTCTTTTTCTTTTTTTGATTTGTATGAAAATACTTGCCTTATTATGATTCTTGATTCCTTTTGTTTACTAACACATACTGAATAAACAATTCTCAGAGTTATTGATTATAACAGGTAATCCAAAACCAAAAAAAGAAAAAAAGAAAGGAATTGGATTAATCAGGGTGGTAGTTGTATATCGTTTGGCCTACGTGCAGGCTCTACTGGGCTCCAGCCCAGTGCTGTTTTTCTGTTTTCCGCATGCAAGCTTAGTTTTACAAACCAAATTAGGGTAAATCAAATATATTAGCCCACCACTTTAGGTAGAAATAAGCCCATCAATGCAACCAATCTCTACACGACAAACACACCTCTGCAAACAAACTCTACACATGTTGGTTTTCCTCCGCATGATGTTGATAAAATCCTGAGACATACAGTTTCTCAGCCCCAAAATCTCAGACATGTATATTTGATCCATAACAAATCGATAAATTACAATTTATTCTGTTAGCACCAAAACATTGGCAACAGACAAGCTTTTCCATCCCAAAATTTTCAGAATTGAACTTTAATTACTAAATTGTGGAACCCAGTAAGAAAATTATATCCAATGTCTACACTTTGGGATTTGGAGGAGGAAGCAGCCATTTGGAACCCTGAATATAGCCAAGGCTTAGGAAAGGTTTGATTTGTTCGTCCGTCATATGTTTGGTGTATTTTACTCTCCCAGCCGCACTTGAACCTGGACCCGAACACTTGTATTCTCCATAGAACACAGTGCTACAACATTGTCACATACACAAAAAAAGAAAAAGAAATTATTGATAAGTATTAATTAACTCTCAAAACCAATCAATTATATGAAATTGTTTAATTAGTGTATGTAAATTTGCTTACTTGTCACGTTCGGGGCGGTTATCGTTGCTCCAGCCGGCGGGGTTGATGACCTCAGACATGTTGGTGTAGGCAAAGACCACCATGGGACTGATCCTCCAAGCCCTGCCCAAATATGTGCCATTTCCAGTCCCAGTTATCTTGCAGTGGACAAATGAGTATCCAGTATCATCTGAAGCTGAGTCCCTTGCTTGTGCTGTTATCACTGTTAATCCATTATCCCCCACCACATGTAACTCATTGTTCTGCACCCATTAATTAATTAACCATCAAAACCATGACATAATATAGACCATCAACAAGCTCAATTATACAGATGAGTTAATCGTACATATAACGTTTCTCGTACAACATGTACGTGAAATTCACTATTATATGACGAGACTCGCATATAGAGTTCCTAAATAGATTTTCCTTTCATTGAGGAATTATAAGGAGAGTTTGGGTGACAATACCAAATAGAGAGACTTTCCACTTCCCCAGATGAAATCCACAGTGCCTTCAATAAAGCAGTCCTTGAAAAAATGATTGCCCTTGTCATCACAAAGGGTGTCCTGGAAACCAATAAGCTTGCAATTGTACAAGGCTGACTTGTTCCCCGACACCCTCAACGCCACTGCCTGCGCTCCCACTGCTTTCCCATCTGGCCTTGGTGAAGAGTTCTTCACAACCACAAATCAACTCAAATTTTAATCCCCACACAAAAATAATAAAAGAATGTCGACAAATATTTATTCTGTGATGATAATATCATGTGACATGTTGATTTGATAAATTTAAATACCTTAATAATAACATTAGCTGCCATGAAGTAGTCAGATTCAGCAATCACTGTGGCACTGTTCACAGTTCCATACTTTTGAGCTGTGCCAGCAAAGGTCAAAGTTGGCATCTTGGTTGGAGAGCCAAAAAATGTAACAAATGGTTTATTCCGTGGAATTGTGATTTTCTCTTCGTACTCTCCCTCTCCAATGTACACAATGACACGTTTGGTGTTGTCGGCCGGAATGCTATTAATGGCGTCAGTAATAGTCTTGAATTGTCCACTTCCATCTTTCATGACCTTGATGACGGTTTGACCAGCCTCAGCCGTTGCAAGGGCAGGGTCAAGTGTGCCCTGCCGTTCTGTGTACGGCTTCACATTGTCATTGAACCACGTGTTGACTTGGGGTTGGTCGGCTGGTACCGGTGTATCATCATCCGCCATGGCTATGGTGGCAGTGAGGAGAATTAATGTCATGGTTAGAGCTGCATCAACGCCCATGCATGTTGTTTTTCTGGCCATTTTTTTCATTTTCTTTTTTTTTGGATTTTTGGTTTTGAGGTTTTGTATGTTTTTGGGTGCTATTGATTAGAATGGTAGAAGGATTTGATTTTATAGTCCCCTATGCAAGAGCTATTGAGGCACATATTTAGAGGGATTCATCCAAAATTTGTGAAACTTGGAAAGCTTCTCGCACATTTTGGTTTCCAATTAGTGGCTAATGTTCATTGGGATTTCAGATCCACACTTTGAATTAGCTAATTTGGGAAGGAAGAGGACATAATTAAGAGAGTTTTACTTAACCATCTCATGTAAAATCTCAATTATAGCCTTGACAATTAAGGATATAGCATCATATAGTCACAAATTAGCAAGGGTGGAGCCATAGTTAGACTAGGGTGGGCTCCACCCCAGTACAACTATCTAGAAAAACGGAATTTAGTGTTAATTTTAGGAAGTTCATCTTATTGAATGGAATTCGTCTCATTCAGAAAAAAAATGTAGTCACTCAAATTAGAAAGAGTGCAGTTGTCACACTTTCCTCTTCTCTGTCACCCTTTTTTCCCCCTAATGTTTCTCCTTTTCTCTCTTAATTTTTCTTCATCTCCTCTCCCCTTTCTCTAGTTATTTCCTTCTCTTTCAGTTTCTCCCTTGGTTTAAGCTGTCATGAATTCAAAAATCTTGAGAAATACGTTCTTTTGGGGTCAATTTCATCTTGGTCTAGATTGTGGGTATTGAGGTTTTACGATCAAGCCAAGATGAGTGATGGCGTGGCAGATCTGCCGCCATGACCAAAAAAACAATTTAGCCCACCCCTTAAAAAATTTATGGGTCCGCCCAATCGAACACTCTTCTTTTTCTTTTTCTTTTTTTGATTTGTATGAAAATACTTGCCTTATTATGATTCTTGATTTCTTTTGTTTACTAACACATAATGAATAAACAATTATGGGAGTTTTGGTATGTTGTGAGACGCTTTGACAAGGTGTTTGAGTCGAGAGTATTTGAAGGTTGTTCAAATAAGTTGGTTGTTCAAGTCTCTCAATGTATGATGTCAGAGCAATCCTAGTCCTTTTTTTTTTTTTTTTTTTGCGTGTGTCTGAAAATACTTGCCTTATTATGATTCTTGATTTCTTTTGTTTACTAACACATAATGAATAAACAATTCTCAAAGTTATTTATTATGATTCTTGATTTCTTTTCTTCCATTGCTCACCCGCCGCAAATTTTGGCACCAAATCCTCTTCAGAATAATGAGCGCTTAGAAACATCTGATTATATCATTCATGTTTGAACAGTAGGTTAAAACTTCTGTATACTAAATTTGATAGAATTAGAACATTTAATCCAAAAAATAAAGTAGCAATGGATCAAGATTTTACTTTTTCAATGTGGGATAATATTACACTTTGGTTTGTTTGGCACTGTTTCTGGAACAAGTAAAAACACTTTCTAACAACTAAAAGCTTTTTCAAAGTGTTTAGCATAAAAAAATTAAAAGTGCTTATGGGTGGAGAAGCACTAGCAAGCTTCTTTGTCAGAAATCACTTTCAAGTACATTTTTAGAAAACACTTTGACTTGTGTTGAGGCCCAAAAAATCCACGGTTCGGCCCAAATAAATTTTCAGCCCAATGCGATACCTTATCAAGAAGAAACCCGATTTGAGCACGCGAAAGTTCGTCATATACGCTTTGCACACATGCCACGCCAAGCAAATAAGTAACATGTCACGCTATAAGCTTAAGTGGGCCCAAGCCACATTAATGCCTGGGGCTTGCTGAGCGGGTTGTGGTATGGATGGTTACGAGTATTCACGAGGCCCATTGATGGTCCAAGGAGTGGAAGTTTTGGGCTACTTGGGAGCATCAAAACTCAAGCCCATTCCTTGAGTCCAAACATATAGGCAAGCATGAGATAAAACCCAATAGCCTATCACCTTAAGAAAAGGCCCAAACATCTTTAAAAAATGTCCAATAGCCATAACCCATAAAAAATCCCACATCAGCCAAAGCTTCCAGCAGTCTGACGAAGTCAAAGGGAACTCACAAACCGCTGGAAACAAAACAGCCCAGCCCAGCATTTTATAAAATATCCAACGTCGTGCTCTGTTAAAACCAGTTCAAAGCCAAATCAGCAAGAGCAAGCAAACCCATGTGCTGATCACCTTTTTTACCAAGCACCCTTACCCATTCTTTCCTCTTCAAGCTTTGATGAGAAAACAAGAAGCAAAAGTGGGTGGCACCTCACCCACATGAAAAGTCCAGCTGCTTGAGGACCTTGCAACCCCAAAAAGCTGCGTGCCTACGGGTTCAGGCTAGAGAAATTTCACCAAACTACATAAATGGAAGAAAGTGAAGGAAAAAGGGAGAGGGTGGCTTGATAAAATTGAGTCTTCTAGCCCCTATAAAAGGAGACACTTTCTTCCCAGCAAAACAACTCACAATGGAGAGAACATACAAGAACGAATTGAAGGCAAGCGCATCCACTCTGGAATCCTTCAATTTCATGCTTTGTTCTTCCATTTCTCTTCCTTTCTCTCAAAACTGACATCCAGAGAGAGCAAGCATCATCTCTCATCTCTAGAACCCTTCGATTTCAAGCCTTGTTCTTCCATTGCTTCCATTTTTCTCCTCTGTCAAATCGCCCATGAGCTTGACGAAGCTTTCGTCAAGTTGCTGGAAATATGCTAAAGCCATCCATGCTTTCATCTTCTACCTCTCTTTCCACAATACAGATTTAGAGAGCAAGCTTCATCTCTCTCAAAGCCTCTGTTCCTCATAGGAAACCCCAAGCCTTCTCTCTCTCATGCTAAACTCACGAATACTCAACTCCCATGCCACAAGCTCTCATGCCAAGCCCAAGAATTTACCTGTAAGCAACTGTCGGCTTCGTTGGTGAAGAAGACCAAGGTGTTTCCTAAGGCTCAGCTACCCTTTCGAAACACTCTTGGGGCCTGATCCTTGAACTCAGACTTAAGGGGCAATTTCACACATGTTTCTCTTTTCGACAGCCCAAGCCCATTCGTCAAGCTGCTGGAATAAAAAGACTCCTACAACTTGTAATAAATTTTTTGATTTTCTTCTATTTGAAACACTTGTAAAAATAGTGCTTATAAGTAGAAGTGATTTATACAAAAGCACTAGCAAACGGAATTAGAAGTCAACTTACCGCAAGGGTGGTGGGGCCAACACAGGAGGCAAGGTTCTATTTAAAGGGTCCACCAGATTGAAACTCATTGCTTGGTGTAATTTGCCAGAACCCTACTGGTGGCTCAGTGCATAGCAAAGCAAGGGGCTTGTAACTCAACTTATTATGAGCAATTACCCTTGAGGTCCTATATTCGGATCTCCATACCATCAATATCGCTTGTAAAAAAAAAAAAAAAAAAAAAAAAAATATGCAAGGTGTAACACCCCGACTCCAATTAAATTCTCTATTTAAATTATTTTATTTAATTAAATATGAAATTTCCAATTTACCCTTGGGGTAAGGGTATTTTGGTTATTTTCTTATCCAACGAGATTTTGGGCAACAAGTGGTATTTTTAGGTAGATTGTACTGAGACGAGTCCGTAGACGCATAATGGGCTCAATTTGGAGTTGTAACAAAGAAGTTACGATCAGAACAAGTTCAATGGCATAACCGTAATTATTTCGAAGTTGGGTTTAATAAATCTTATTTTTCTCTCTTTCGTTTTTCCTCCGCCCTCTTCTCTACTGGCCACCAAACTTCATGATATTGGTACCAAAACGTCAAGCTCACTTTCCTCTTCCTATCCCGACACTTCGCCACCCCAGCCGCCGCTGTTTCTCGTCGGAATTTGTGAAAATCCAGTCGATTTTACCCATAATTTCACGGAGCTTATTCAGGTGATTCCGGCAACCAAATTCTTTGAACTTGGTATGTTTTCTCAACCTCTCGAGCTGTTCTTGCTGTTAGTTGGGTTAGTTTTGAGAAATTTCTGCATTTAGGGGGTTAAA